GAATTGGCATCCCCTTTATGAAATACAGATCATGTTCTAAAAATTCGTTTGTAATATGATTTTTGGAAATTATAGCTCATTTTCCTCTAACCATGTTATACATAGTACCTTTTGTTCTCAGAGTAGCCTTCTAATTTTATTTAACTCATAATAGCCCTAAACTATAAGATTTATGATACTCAAGACCTAACGGTTTATATATAATATTAACAGGAAAATGACTGTTTCTGCTTAGAATAGCAATAACACAGCCCATCATGTTGTAGATCTGTAAGCTGATACAAAGAATTCCTTTGTACCTGTGCTCTTCCCTGTGGTTGCTGTGGCTGTGGAGATGTAGGGATTTATCCAAGTCCTAAAACTGATAGCATCTCCTGGAGCAGGTACACTCTGGAAGAATAGACCCTAGAGAAGGGAAGAACATCAAAAAGGAACTCTGAAGGTGGTAAGAAGGAAGTGAGGAGTAGCTTTAGGAAGGAGCTAACCTGTTTTTTCTTGCTTCTCTTCTTTATCTCTTGTCCATCCTCCACATACATCCCACCATTTTCCCTTTTCTTTTTTGTCCCCACGTCCTTTATGTACACTTTCCGATTCCCTTCACCTTGCTAAAAGGAAGAGTTTGGTTGGGTATCCTGTGTCAATGGCAGGAAGGTTGTTTTCTTCTTCACCTTTATCCTACACATCCACATCCTCAACCCCAACCACCTCCTTTTTCGATTTCCTTCCTGCTTATCTTTACTCCACAGACTCTTCACCTAGTACTTGGAGAGTAAAATTAGAGATTCCTGGACAGGAGTTAAGATGAGGAAAGCCTAAGCAACAGTTCAGTTTATAGTAGCAAGAGAAAAGAAAGTCTGGGCATGGCTAACCAGGGTGGCTATTTGTATGTAAAGTATTATCAGTTCAGCTTATGTAAACTGTTTGCATATGAAAATCAGATACTTTAAATTATAAATTCTCCTAATTGTCCTAGAAAATGCTCATGTTTTTACTCATTTGTGCAAATTTGGGACTGATAAGTGTGACCAGTTCTGCTCACTGTCCACTGCCTGAAATGGAGCTTTGGGATGGACTGCATAGTTTTTCTAGTCTTAACTCTAAATTCTTACTAGCAACGCCCTCTGCTGTTCACTATTGATATTTATTTAGGAATCAAACTGCAGTACTCAAATTTTCCAAGCAGTTTTTCTCTTTGTGTTTTAGTTCATTCGGGCTGTTATAACAAAATACCTCAAATTGGATAATTTATAAATAGTAGAAATTTATTTCTCACAATTTTGGAGTCTGGGAAATCCAAGATCAAGGTGCTACCAGATCAGTTGTCTGGTGAGGGCTGCCCTCTGCTGTTCACTATTGATATTTATTTAGGAATCAAACTGCAGTACTCAAATTTTCCAAGCAGTTTTTCTCTTTATGTTTTAGTTCATTCGGGCTGTTATAACAAAATACCTCAAATTGGATAATTTATAAATAGTAGAAATTTATTTCTCACAGTTTTGGAGTCTGGGAAATCCAAGATCAAGGTGCTACCAGATCAGTGGCTTGCATCTCAAAGATGGCACCTTCTTGCTGCATTCTCAGTTGGTGGAAGGGGCAAGACAGCTCCTTTCGGCCTCTTTTATAAGGGTACTCATCCTATCCATGAGGTCAGAGCCCTCATGACTTAATCACTTCCCCAAAGACCCTACCTCTTAACATGTTAACTGCCATGTGAGTTGTATTTAACTCACACTATTTTTGAGCCAGGGGCCTTGTGAAGCATAGGTAAGTTACGTCTCTTCACCTTGGGAGTCACAAGAACTATTTTTCAAGTTGCATATAACTCATGCACAGAAAATGATAAATCCCAAATTTTTCATTAAATTAGAAAGGATCATTTTGTTTTCAAAGTTTTTATTTTATTTTCATAATAAAACACTGTGGCCCCAAGGAAAAATTTTTTTTCTCTAATGTGGCAGTCAGTGTGTTTTTACTCTTTACATTGTGACTTTTGGTTTTGACTTTCCGATATATGACCTACATTCACACTGTAACATCGTGCATTCAAAAATGTCAAAATAAAACTGCTAGGTTTAATTAATAGTATGCTATTGATGGAGGCATATGGATGTATTAGTCCCTATATTAGTTTCCTGGGACTTCC